CTCTACTATCTCGTTTAGACACAATTCGAGTTTTTGCAGTTTCCATTTCAACTTTGAAATGGAAATCTCTAAAGCTCTCAAATGCCTAATTTTGAATTTCAAACAAATAGCCTAAATTTTCTTGGAATATTCATTAGTAAAACTAACAAAATATAAATCATTTTCAAGAGACTTGTCAATTATCGGTATAAGCCTTATTAAGCACATGCGATCTTCTATGTAGAGATGATCTATGAAATGTCACTTTGTGTTATTTACTCGGTTAAATAATGAGCATAAGTGTTCAAGTTCATATTTTGGAAATGAAGGAGGTTCTTCTTGGAAATGATACTAAGGTCTTTCTCACTCAAGTGTTCAAGTTGCTTATGTCATAGAGTAATGGAGGTAATTTTTATTGCATTCACCTTTTCTTTAATCACTTTAGCTTGTGACATGTACGGACCAATCTTTTTACCTCTAACAACAATCAAAGAACATTTGGAGAACTTTCATTTTTTGTTTTTAAGAAATTATGATAGGCTTCTTCATCAAATATAGGTGCATATTAGGTACATGTCTAAGTATCCTTAAGCAATAACTTGCATTTGATACTCGGTTTCTAACCAAATATCTCTAATGTTCATAATACTAACCTTCCTTTGATTTCCTATCCTAACTTGATTGAAGTCTCCATTACCGTAGGATATAAAGAAATCACATCAGGATGTAACATGGTAAGAAGTAGCTGAATCAACAATCTAGGTGGTATCTTAAGAAAAAAATTTACACAACCATCTTCACAAAAAATGGCAACATCACTATTGTAAACATGCCTACAATTGTACTATTCTCTTGATTTTTTTCTTCAAAGTTATCCCTCTAATCTCTTTTATGCTTTCTACAAACCCTTTCAATATGTATGGTTTGTCACAATAATAATAATTTATTCTCTTTCTTGATCGTTTTGCCTTTAGACTTCGATCCGCCTCTTCTATCATTAAATTTTTTATCCCGCTTGCAACGAGAAAATCTACTTTAAAATCTCTCTTTATTTTCGATAACAAGTATATGAGAGTCTAAAATGCTTGATCATTTTTTTTCTCTTGATTAAGAATATTGTCTTTCACTCGTCTTCAAAGTGAGCTTTCCACTCGAAGTAAAGTTGCTAAGTGGCACCACCAAAGTCTCCCAACTATCCAATAATTAACTTAATAGGATTAGTGTTTGTATATTGTCGACTAACTCAAGGTTCATCAATGTCAACAAATTTAGGAACCCTTGGAAGTTATTTAAGTGCATTGAAACATCTTTACCATCTTTGTAACTCAAGTTTACAATGTCTCTAGCCACAAGAGTCTTATTTTGTGCACTCTTTTTAGCAAAAGTTTTTTCCAATAATTTTTAAAATTTATATCAGTCATGTTTTTGAAAAATATAGTTGATGGATATAGAGAATATCTATTTTTTGGTGCCGATTGTAGCGTTTCGTTGTTTGACATCCATTTAGCCTCTTCTTTATCGACAAACTTCTTTCCTTCACATTCAAATGGCAAAGTCAAATCACCGTAGTAAAGTTAATTCTTCATCAATGTCTTTTATAGAAGATAATTGAAGAAAATGATGTTTATCATATTTGAATCTTCCCTCTTCGTTTTAACCGCACAAGACTAAGCCACATAACCTAAAACTCTAATATCCTTCGTTGGAAAAACACACTTGTCCGAATCAAAATTACAAACCACAAGTCCCAATTCTTTTCTCTCTTTATGCAATTAAAATTAGGATCAACCAATCAATAATAATCAATACAAAATAAATAAAAAAATACAATCACAAACAAAACATAAATTTTTACATGAAAATTTTGATGTGGGAAAAACCACAAAACCATAATTCAGTCAAACTCTTTTACTATATCAAATAATGAGATATATAATTCTTTTCTATGCTAAACTAAATGATACATATCAAATCATCAAATACATGATCACAAAGATGAATTACAACCATAACAATTAAGAAAAAAACTAAATCTCACAAAATAAGGTTTTTTTTTTTTTTTTTGAAAGACGCATGCTGTATTATAGTAAATTAGTTGCCAAAGTGGCAAGAATACACTGAGGAGGAGTAAATCCCCACACATGAAAACCTGACAAAGAACTTGCTGCTCTAGCTAACTGATGAGCTGCAACATTCTCAAATCTTTTAACATGAGCTACTTTCACATTCACTAAGGAAGCTAAAATAGCTTTACAATCAGAAATTAATAGACCAAAAGAAGAAGAATCTAAAACAGGAGAATTAATGGCCTGAATAACACGCAGGCAGTCAGACTCAATTTGCACACACTCCCTTCTGTGATCACGTAACAAACTGAGTCACAAAATGAGGTTTTAGGAAAACTTAAAAGTAGAAGTTTCTCGATGACCAATACCGTTCAAAATTGAAGAGAACATCGTCAAAAATAATAGATCAACATTTTAACTCAAACGATTTTAAAATTACCATCCGATCAAAGGGTCAAACGTGAAGAGTACACCTTTTTCTCTCTCTCGGCCAAAGTCCTCTTTTCTTCTTTTCTTGAGGTTGCCGTGTGACCGACTCCCCCTTCTTTTTCTCGTTTAATTTTTTTTTTTTTTTTTGGTTTTTTTTAAGTGGGATTTGGGCCTAACGAGGACAAACCCAACCCAACACGTTATACCGTACATACACAATCCATTGCACATAGGGGCAATTACATGTGATGGGTCTAATATGGTATTTTATATATGCTGAATCACATGGGCAACTACATATATCATATCGAGTAAACTCTCTTATGAGTAAACTCTCTTATATAAATTTTACCTAAAATGGGATTTATAAATAATTTTTATATAAATTTCATATTATATAAAAGGAGGGAAAAGCATTTTTTGACGTAGCGATCAATTTCTTGTATCATAAAAACTTTCGTACCTTGCTAGAATTTTTTGTGTTGGAGTTATTTTTCCCAGCCGTGACACGCTTGACGTTCTCCCAGCTTCTAGCTTGATTCAATGCATTTTCACGCAGTATTTATGATCCTCAATTACTCAATCTGGAAACACGGGTAACGGTTGCATGTCTGGCCCCATCCACCTCAGCTATGCAATAAATTTACATACAGAGGGTAAGTGCACATTTATGTTAACTTAAAAATAAAAAATGAAAGGAGAGAAAAATATAGTAATCTCAATTTCAGGAAGTTGAAGTACATATCCCCACTAATTTCAAAGAAAATATTTCCTTCTCATTTTCCCATGTATAATATATATTTTTTAAATTAATTTACACATAACATGTCAATGTTAATCACAATTAATATTCTTCCATGCCATGCATTGATTCATGGCCGTGAAGTAATTCTATATCACTGATCATCATGTCTTAAACGATCAGTATGGGACCATATTCAACACTTCAAGTTAAGTGGATTGATATTAAATTTGTGACAAACTATTTGATTGTTTGTCCTATATATATAGTTTTTAGTGTTCTGTCCGTCCATCAACTGAAATGTGGTAGAATTCATAGGGGTTAATTGTGAATTAAACCAGCTTTACAGATTTAGCTAGTTCATACTAATACTACAGTACACCAGATGAGATTATGCAGTCGATTTTAGTTTGTTGATTAATAAACCATTTTTTCTGTGGAAAAAAAAAACAATTTATTCAATCTTGTACTTCTGTACAATGACAATTTGAACATTTTCAACTGGCACACATGGCATGTTGTCTAATGATATCCAGGGCATTTACTTTGTGGGATCTATCCCACATTTGGTAGCAGTTGGGATGAAAAGACCTCCGTGTTCCAAATTTGGGAGCAGGGTTTTTTTTTTCCACTAACACAACACAAAACCAATTAAACAAAAGGAGAAAAAAAATTAAAAATTAATTGCTCATACACATATATGTAAATATGGTCATATACACACATGTAAATATAGTCATATGCCAGTTGGCTTTTTTCTCCTCTATATATATTACATCTTAGAAAGGTGACTGCACTTACTGAAATCTTCACAGGTTAAACGCCCCCGGCCCTTTCCATTTCAGTCAAAATATGAACTGTTCTAGTTCACTAGTTTCTACTGCAAAAAGGTAAGCTGATTGCTCTCGCTATTAATTCTTGTGCTTTAATTCCTTCACCGGAATGATAAATCAATGCTACTTAAATTCTGTTGCAGGTTAGCAGGTAAAGTGGCAATAATCACTGGAGGTGCTAGCGGGATTGGTGAGAGCACCTGTAGACTATTTGTTGAGCATGGAGCTAGGGTCTTGATAGCTGATGTCCAAGATCAAGTTGGCCAATCCCTCTGTAAAGAACTTGGCTCAGAAGACAATGTTTCCTATGTACATTGTGATGTCACTAGTGATGCCGATGTCAAAAATGTTGTCGATGTTGCCATGTCCAAGTATGGGAAGCTAGACATTATGTACAACAATGCTGGCATTACTGGCAATATAGATCCAACAATATTAGGTACCGACAATGAAAATTTTAAAAGGGTTTTTGAAGTCAATGTGTATGGTGGTTTCTTGGGTGCGAAGAATGCTGCTAGGGTCATGATTCCAGCGAAAAAAGGTGTTATTCTTTTCACATCTAGCGTGGCTTCAGTGGCTTGTGGTGAGTCGCCTCATGCTTATACAATGTCGAAGCATGCGGTGGTGGGGCTAATGAAAAATTTGTGCGTGGAACTAGGGCTTTATGGAATAAGGGTTAACTGCATTTCTCCTAGTGCTCTTGCTACTCCACTGCTAAGAAATGCAATGGGAGCAGACAGAAGTTTTGTAGAGCATGTAGTTTGTGAATCTGCCAATCTCAAAACAGTGGTGCCATCACCCAAAGATGTGGCGGAGGCTGCCTTGTATTTATGTAGCGATGAGTCCAAGTATGTGAGTGGACTAAATCTCATGGTTGATGGGGGTTACAGCACCACTAATCAGTCCTTCAATATGGTATTGAAGAATCTTTTGTCCTGATTCAAGAGTTGCTCAAGATGAAGAGTCCGACGTCAGGACATCATCTCCCTTCTGTATAACACATTACATTGCATATAAATTTTCAATTGACTTTCATTAATTTTAGACAAAATACTAAACCAACAAGGTGTTGGTTTAGCAAGTTAATTTTCAGACAAATTTTCTGCCAATATACAAAATTTAAACGTTAAAATTATATTAATTGAGAAGAGTTAAATTTTATTATTTATGCTCTGAATATGATTAACCATATTTTCAATATGAAATAAAAATATTTGAATAAAATAAAAAATAAAATATTAATATGTTGTGAGAGTTTATTATAAGAATATAGAAATCAATTTTGAAGTTGTTCAAAAGTTAACCTGGCAAATTCTCTCATCCGAAGGTATGCCGATTTCTGTTATGTTAATGTACGTACCGTACCACCTTTTCCACTGTGGAATCTAGCAATTTTTTACGAGGAGAAACTTTTTGCATAAATAAAATAAAATTTTAGTAATTACCGGCGCCCTACATAATATCAGAAATCCATTTACACTGCATGTTATTTTTTCGTCTATATCCATTTTGACATAACTAACACTGAATTTAATCGTCTATTTATATGTATTATCAAACCAATTTTTAAGTCAATTGAATATATATATATTTAAATCTTGAAAATACCTTATGTGATATATTATGTGAAATTTTGATTTTAATAGCTATATAGATTAACAATTTATAGTTTTCATTTGATTGGAAATTTGACAACCATGGATCATGAATAAATATTATGAGAGAACTATGGGGAAAAAAGTTTTTTAATGAAAACTGAACGATTATATAATGATTAATTGCAAATTGATTATACCCGACTAACTTTCTCAAGCATTTGAAGACAAGATAATTGCCGTTCTAGTGGTAATTTGATCAGACATACATATGTATAGTTGTAATTTGTGATATTCGTATCATAAACAAATTTTTATATCCTTGTAATTTATCACATATTCATTCAAAAGTGTCTACTGTTTAGCAAGCTAGGTTTCAGTTCAATCCGTCGAAGTATCTAAAGAATTTTAAACGCCCCTTTTGGACAGATAATCCAATGCAAAGTAGGATCATTAGATTTCGGTCGATATTCATGTGAGAAGCATTAAAAGTTCAGGTCCGAAAAATCTTACAAGGTCGCTCTCGATCTCATTTATGTTTAAAAGTCGGTCACCGTTGGCGGTTTCTTGAATTAAAGTTCTATGGTCCCTCTAATAATTGCTCATAGTTAAAAAAAAAAAATAGTTATTAAATTTTTTTTTTGATTAAATGTGGTAATATGAAACCGATGGTTATTAAACTAGTCCTTTTTTTTTTTAATATAATACAATAGAAGTCATATTTTTAGTTTTAAACTAAGCGAATTGAATATCGATCAATCACCACTAATGGATGATGGTGTAGAAAGAACTAGTCAGTTTTTGAACTACCTAACAGGTTGAGCTAAACATGTTTATTTTAGATTAATAGCTTGTATTATACTATTGGTCAACTAACATATACTAAATTAAAGATATAAAATAAAGTTTAATCTAATTTTATAATTTTTAATCAAAATTTTATATTTTATTCATTTTTCATGAATTTTATTGTTAAAAACATGATTCTTTATTCATTAAGTATTTATTCTTAAATAAAAATTTATAATAATGTAAATAGAAAATTTAATATAGGATTTTAAAAGAGTCTTAATATATATATATATATATATATAATAAGATTACATCAAAAAAAATAAAGCAACAATTAATATAAAAACTTATATAAGAATTAACTAAGAAATCTTTTTTAATCATTTGAAAACATGTATATTTGATTTATATATATTTATTTATAAAAAAATCAATAATATTAGTAAAAGTATATATATTTAAATTATTAGGTGGTTCTTCTAAAATATTATTATAATCATTTTATTTGAAAAAATAATTTTAGAGTATTAAATAAATTAATAGCAAATAATTGGTATTATGTGTGTAGATGCATAATTAATTTTTAATAAAATCAATGATATATATATTGTGATCATACTCAATGAGTTAGAGCATACGGTATAAAAAAATATTTAAAAGAACTTAAGTTGTAAGGAATACATTGAAATTTATAGAGTGTAATAAAAATAACTAAAAAAAATTATTCGATAAAATTTAATTATATTTAAAATAAAAAAAACCACACAATTTTTATTATTTAATTGCTTATTGATTAAAAATAAAATTACGTACAAAATAAAAAAATTAATTTGATGAGAATTTTCATAAGAAACGGCAAATTGAAGAAATCAATTTTAAATAATAAAAATAATATAATTTGATATATATAAGTTAATTATAAAATTTTAAAACATGAAAAGTTAAACTATCTCTTAATTAAAGACATGAGGGACCAAAATATTAAAAAAAAACAAGGTACCAAAATAGAATAAAATAAGAAATGAGGGGTAAAAATATCTTTTAAAAACATAAAAAACAAAAATATCTTTTAAAACATCAGGATTAAAATATAATATAATATAATATAAAATTTACCTATGAATGCTGAAGAATAGTTGAGAAATCACAAAAATGCTACGTCTAAAATTACCAAAACTAAGGTAAATATTGACTCGTGAGACAATAAATAATACGTAGTTTTCATTTTCTCGTTTTTGTTAATAATTTATAATTTGTCATGGGTGAATGCTATGCACCCACGCTTGTGGCCCGTTTGGGAAGGCAAGGAGGTGCCCTCTTGAGTGCCTTTGGGTTGGCTTTGCCAGTCTTCCTAAAGTTAATAAGGACCTTTCGATGGATCGATATATTCAATCTCAGCCATTAAAATAAAATAACAACAAACTAGTTACCATTGAAACCGGTTGCTCTTATATTTCCAAGAAAGTAAGGTGCGTACCTGCTCATTTCTCTCCAATGTCTCCCTTCTCCTCCTTCCTACAAATTTTTTTTCCAGCAGGAATTCTCTCTCTCTCTCTCTGTTTTTTTTTTTTTTTTTTAAAATCAAGCAGCAATTATTTCTACATTAACGAATATCCAATATGAACGAATAAATTATAAATTAATATCTTTATTTTCAAGAAACGAATTAATTATTTTTTATTTTAAAAATTAATTTTTTAATTTTTTAACTAGTACAATGTTTAATTTAATATTATTTTATATAAAAATGTCATCTTTTTTTATCAATTTTTTATATGTTTACTTTTTTTATTTATAAAAAAATGAAAAACATTAAGTTATAAGAAAATTTAAAAATATAATGATTAAATAATTAATTTTTAAAATAAAAGAAACTAATTAATTCATTTTTCAAAATTAAAGAGACTAATTTCTAATTTAATCCAATATTGGCTAACATTTTAAGTTCATTCAGTAAAGCTTCCATTTGTGCTTCTCAAATTCAATCTCTAATAGAAGTTCAAGTTTTAGTATGCAATTTGATAGAAAAGTCAATAATATTTTCAAATTGAGTTTATTTCTTAAAGTTTTGTTTAGATGTGTAATATCTTAAATTAGTTTTTTATTGACGTATAAATTAGTTTCAAAATACTTTTAATGTGAATAAAATATTAAACAAATAGACCCTAATAATTTTTTTTTTAATTTTATTGTGCAATTTGGTTGCAAAAGATTAAAAAAAAATTGCATAACAAAATACCAAAATACGAACTAGTTTTACAGAAAAACTTGTTGAAATAATTGTTTTTTTTTTTAATTCAAATGTAAGAGTATTTCTTGATCGGTTCGTATATCAAGTGAACTAAGTCTTTCTTCAAACAATCTTATAAACACACTGCTACACCAGCCTAGTGCGTTGAATTAAAAGAAACCATGCTCTTTAACATGGTTCATAATCAAATTATTTGAATTCAGCTGAGTAATAGCTAAATCCTCATGAAATAAATTTATAAGGGGGAAAAAGAAAGCAAAGATTAAGTTTCAAAATACCAAATAATGTTACTGAAAAATGTGTAATATCAGAGTAAATTTCGCAACAAAATCATACTATTTTAGTAAGGATTTTTGAAATCATACTATGGTGGCTTATTCTTTCTATTCAAAACATTCACTGCACCCAAGAATCTTTTATTCTTGCCTTTATCGATCCTAAAATTTTTTTATTCTTTTACTAACTACTCATTAATTGATTTTGCTACGTAATGGGACTGTTTCTTCACATTTTCTTTCATGTTTGTTTGGGTCTTGTTGAGAGTTTTTATTTTTCGTGTTTCTCGCGAGTTTGTTGCTGCAAGTGCTTTGGTTTATTTCTTCTGGATAAGGCTTACTAGGCTGTGTGTAGACGTTGGGTTTTGCTGGTTGGAAAGGACAGTGTTGTAGAAATAACCAATGGAGTTAAGTAAAGCCATTAAGAAGGAGGTGAATATGAAAAACCCATTGAATAACTTATTGGGCTCCGTCCTTTTAATTCATTGCATCAAAGCCCGTATAAGTTTTTTTTGCGTAGGATAACCCAAACACTTTCCCATTAACAGCTAACGTACAAGGTGATGGATGTTTTGATGATTAATGGGATTTCTGTGCCGTTTTTTTTATTTCGTTACTTTCTTCTACTCTTTAATTTTTCTTATGTCATCTCTCTGATTATTTTTCAATCAAAACTAATTATTTGCATAAAAATATTTACATAGTATGACACATTTTTTTTTTTTTTGGTCACGGGTAAGAAATAAATCATTCCGATTCCTCTCTCTCTCACCTCTATTTCGAGTAGCCCAGCATCAAAATCTAATTATACATTTGAATTTGTTGAACCCAATCGTGAAGGAATGATGAGACCTGAAAGGCTGTTGGAGGAGATATTGAAAAATGTTAAATTTGCCAATTTTCGACTGCTGTGATTAGAGAAATGAAATAGAGAAAATTTTGTAAGATGTTCCTGCATTGGATATTTAAATGAGAAAAGTGTAGTGAAGAAAAACTTTTCAGGTTGCCATCTCTCTGTTTTCATTTTGTGCAGAGGTAGCAGAGATTTGGAGAGAAATGAGACTTAATGCCGAATGGATTACATCTTTTTGCATGCTTGAAATAGATGCAAAAAAAGCTTTTACCACCAAACAATTAATTATCACTCTCTCATAAATTAAATTGCCAAACACACTAAGAAATGGGGGAAGCATATGAAAAATTGGAGCAGTTCTCTTTTACAAGCAACAGATCATTCAACAATTGCAACTTTAGATGCCAACATAACCTTACATGGACACAATTATCTGCTGGTCTGTATCTTCATTATAGCTCTAAATGAAAATAGGCTGGACTGTACATATAGTAACTTTCAATCATACTAGCCAACTTATCAAAAAACGAGCATAAAATCGTGCCACCAGATGCTAAAAATCCAGGACAGGGTCTGCAAGCCTTTATTGGCCACCAACCGAACCTAGGAACAGTTGCAATCCCACCTTGAATTCTTCCCTCTCCATTGCATCCCTTCTCTATTTCCTCTCTTCCACATCCCTGACAACCGCTGTAGAAATAATGTTCATTAACCACCTTCCAAAGGGACAGCACAAAGCCCAGAATTGATTTCTTCTAGTGACAAAACCCCAAATAAGTTTGTGTTCTACTAAACAATTCGCTCTACAAAACCAAGAGGATTGCAAAACACACCATTTGCAGTCACAAGGATTGCCACTTGGGACCTAACTAGCCAAGCTGTTGTCAGGGTCATTATTGATGTTACCCGTGAATTGTAGTTAGATCTCCTTCTCAGTAGCTGGTGACACCACAGTGGTAGTGAATCTAGGGAAGAAAGAAATTAAGAGCAAAAAAAAAAAAAAAAAACATGAGAAAGACAATTGATACAATATTCTCATGCTCACTCTATAAATGTTGATAAATAGATCTACCTCTTTGGCATTATTGATGATGGATCCAATTGAAACAGGATCTGGGTCTCCATTGTGTTTGATACAACTCACACTTCAAATCAATGAAAACTAATGAAGACTTGCAAGAACACGCAAGGAAACTTGATCATTATTAAAATCAATTGAAAACAAGAAGTTTAATAAGATGTTTGAATGAAATCAATGCACGGTATCTGTCAAAATACATAAACACTTTTACAGAAAACAGAGATTACAGAGAAAGAAGAGAGAAAACAGAGAGGAGAGAGAATCAATTCTTGCTTAACTCATTCTCCCATCATTCTCAGAATTCTTCTTATTCACTAACTTCCTAACTAACAACTAACTAACTCTAACAACCAATCAATTAGCCTCGACAGTTACTAATGGGTAGTAACGGCTAGTAACGTCAAACGGCTACTTCCTTGCTTAGCTATCATCCTTGTCAGCCATTACTAAGTGATTCTCTTCCAGCTCAGCTCCATCTTCCAACTCATTCATCTTCAGCTCATCATTTTCATCAACCAGACTGCATCAATACCCTCCTTCTTAAGAACCCCTGCCTCTAAGGTTAAACTGAGGAAATCGATGCTCCAGATCAAATGCAAACTCTCAAGTAGCTTCAATAGTTGTGCCATTAGACCATTGAACCAGTAACTAGGTAGCAGCTTGATTATCCCTTTTAACCATCTTTCTGTCCAAGATAGCCATTGGAAACGGAGGTACAGTCAATGACAATGGCAAGTCAGGCTGTACCTGTATCATACCTCTAACAGATTTGAGTTATGAGACATGGAAAATAGGATGTATTTGTGAATGAGGAGGTAATTGTAGAGTATAAGCAACACTCACCACTTTGTTAATCACCTTGAAAGGTCCAAAGAAACAAGTGGAAAGCTTATGATTCCTCTGGAGATTACAGATTGCTGTCTGTAAGGTTGCAACTTCAAATAAACCCAATCACCAATGTTAAATTCCCTATTAGTACAATTTTTATCAGCTTGCTTTTTCATTCTTTGTTGAGCCTTTGTCAAATGATACTTAAGCACTGCAATGACATGTTCTTTGTCTCTTAAAACTTCATCAACGTCTGCTTCCTTACAGTTATTAGGAAAATATGGTAGATGGATAGAAGAAAGGTAACCATAGAGGGCTTCTAAAGGAGTTTGGTGAATCGAAGTATGGAATAAAGTATTATACCAAAACTCAGCTAAGCATAACCACTTATGCCAAGCTTTTGGAATATCAGCAATCATGCATCATAAACATGTTTGTAAGCATCTATTAAACACTTCTGACTGTCCATCAGTTTATGGATGATATGCTGTAGAAAAATGTAACGAAAGCCCTTGATAAATAAATAACTCTCTCCAGAGCTTACTGAGGAATACAACATCTCTATCCAAAACTATAGTATGTGGTAAACCATACAGTTTATATACATTGGCCATAAACACCTCTGCCACTGTCTTAGCTTAATAAGGATGAGCTAAAGACATAAAATGACCATATTTAGTAAGTCTATCCACTACTACAAAAATCATCGACTTACCTTGAGAAGTTGGCAAACCCTCAATGAAATCCATGGTAATGTCAGTGAATATGGCATGAGGCAAAGGTAGAGGTAGTAGTAGGCCTGGGCTGGCCACATTTTCATACTTGCATGTTTGACAAACTTTACAGTTACGAACATATTCGCGCACCTCCTTACGTAGGCCCTTCCAATAAAATAAGGCTGCTACCCTTTTTATAGTGCCATGTATTCCAGAATGACCTCCCATAGTTGAATCATGGAAATATGAAATAAATTCCTTGTGTAGTTCATTGTCATTGCCTACCAGCAATCTGTCTTTTCTTCGTAGCTGTTGATCTTGCCATATATATTTAGGATGTGTTCCTCCAGTGCTTTGTAATTGTGTCACAATATCGGAAAGCCTTGAGTTTGAACTCTAAGAATCATGAGTTCTATTCATCACCTCGGTTGAAATAGAAAAAACAGCAATGTTAGCCAATTGTATCCTGGAAAGGGCATTAGCAGCCACATTTTCCCTCCCTTTTTTATACATAATGTCATAATCGTAGCCCATTAATTTGGCTAACCAAGTAAACTGACTAGATGTGTGTAACTATTGCGCTAACACATGCTTTAAACTTTGTTAATCTGTCTTGATGATGAAATGTTTGTATCCCATAGACTGATGCCATTTCTTGATAGCAAATAAAATGGCCAGTAGCTCCTTCTCATGTATGGATAATGCTTGATGTTTGGGAGATAATAATTTGCTAATATAAGCAATTGGATGGCTTTGTTGCATTAACACTACTCCAATTCCCCCTCCTGATGCATCTATCTCAATCACAAAATCCTGATTCCAGTGGGGTGATGTCAATACTAGAGTATTAACCATTACTTCCTTTAACTCCAAAAAAGCTTTGTCAGTAGCAGGATTCCATGCAAATCAATCTTTCTTGAGCAATTCTGTTGGAGGTCTAGCTATCGTATCATAACCCTTCACAAAACGTAAAAAAAAAAAACAGGGGAATTTTAGAAAAGAAGAAAAGTTTATGATAAAAAAATAAAATAAAATACATAGTAATGAGACATCTCTTCATTAATTCATTTACATAGGTTTGCAACGAGTAAGTATGTAGAGGGTAAAGATGGGTTTACAATGGATAAATTAGAAAAAAATCACACCTTAAAAATTAAAAGTTAATCATTATATGCAAAAATTATTTCATTCCTCATGTGAGAAAACCTTTCACGCATTAAAAAAAGGGGACAAGTGTTATGTCCAAAATTTAGACTAATTATAAGTTCAAAACTCTAGTAATTTGGTTTTACATAAGTGGCCTGTTAGTTAATTTAGTGGGTGATTTACTTAGACTAAAAGACTTACTAATCATGGACTCTTTGATTAAACAAAACAACTATAAGAAGATAAACATGAAGAATAAAAAGAAAATGACCAGTTAAAAAAAAAAGGGGGGGGGGGGGGGGGGACTTGATTATAACAATTATCGAGGAATGTGGAGCATGACAAGAAAATATGACAAAATGTAGGAGATTGTGAAGCATTATAAAAGATCATGGAGGAGCAAAAAAACCTATAAATATAAGGTATAGTGAAAAAAACACAACAAAAAATCAAACTCAAAAACCCTTACAAATAACAAGAAGCTCTCAAAACATTATTTTAAGTTTCAGCACACTGGAAACTTATTAGGTAATAAGTAATAGTTTGTAGATAATAATTAAAATGGACTAATAGATTTGTATACTTATAATTTGGCTTTTTAATTCTATTTTGTGTCCACAACTTGTATATGTGATTTTTAAGAATTGTATTCCTATATATATATTTTCAGAAAAAGTCTTGGTTTGTAAACATCATTTCTTATTAATACACATATATATACTTTTTATTTAAAACTTTGTACATTGTTAAGTTTGAAAAGTAACAAAGTTAACTCATAATAATTCAAGTCTGAAAATTGTGGTACTTTGCAAAACATTATCTAACCATTTATTTATTATTATTATTTTTTTTTAATAAAATTCTATTAGTTAGAATAGACATAAAATAACCCGCAAAACAATTAGCTAGTATCACAACGTTTGCCTAATTAGTTTGGGCCCATCTTAAGTTAGAAATTTCATCATCGTTGTAAAAAAATCAAAACCATTAAAATTTGTTGGTTTATATTTCCTCGCTACATTATCCCCTAAAAAGTTCTGTCATTAAAGTTGAACAAATACAATGAACCCACTAAAATAAGCACCGACAACCATTTTTAAATTAATAAGCATATCATCGGCACATTTGACCATGAGCCGCCAAAGGTGAATCGCTGTAGTTTAGAAGAACGGGAAAAAGAACTCCCTATAAATATGTCCATGTCCTCTAAACCTTTCTGAACGAGATTTTTTTTCCATTCTTTCTTTTCTGTATCAAACTACTCGGAAACAAGAGTAACGCAACTCTAGCTTTGTTTTAATCCATCATTTCTTTCAATTTTTTTTTTTTGACAAGATGAGTTCCAGTTCTTCAGAGTCTCCCATCACCAGAAGGTAAAATAAATCGTAAGCTCAATATTCAGTTGATCCATTTATTTATTCATTCATTATAGCTTTATCTGGTTACCAACCAATTAAAAAATAAAAGAATTTCTGACCATTTTTAAATCTCAAACAATTTGCGTCTGCAAACAAGTCCTAGCATAATTAGTTAGTACACTCAAAAGCTTGAAAGAGATCTATTTTTTCTAATAGTTGGTGTTACATTATAAATTCCAGGCTTGAAGGCAAGGTGGCATTGATAACAGGTGGGGCTAGTGGCATAGGCGAGTGCGCAACAAGGCTATTTATTCAACATGGTGCCAAGGTCCTTATTGCAGATGTCCAAGACGATCTCGGCCATGTCCTCTGCCAAGAATATGGCTCCGAGGAAATCATCTCTTATGTCCATTGCAATGTAACAGTCGATTCTGATGTCCAAAATGCGGTGGATACAGTTGTTTCCAGGTATGGGAAGCTAGACATCATGTTCAACAATGCCGGAATTTCAGGCAAAACAAAATCAAGCATCTTGAATTCTGATAATGAAGACTTTATGAGAGTCCTTAATGTCAATGTCTACGGTGGATTCTTGGGTGCCAAACATGCTGCGAGGGTAATGATTCCAGCTAAGAAAGGGTGCATTCTCTTCACTGCAAGTGTGGCTTCGGTATTGTACGGTGAATTGGCACACGCATACACAGCATCTAAGAATGCTATTGTAGGGTTGGCGAAGAACTTGAGTGTAGACTTGGGCCAGCATGGTATAAGAGTTAATACTATCTCACCCACTGCAGTTGCGACCCCAATGCTTACCAATGCTTTGAGAATGTCAAAGGAGGCTGCAGAGGAATTTGTTGCATCAGCAGCCAACTTAAAACATGCAGTATTGGAACCAGAAGATGTTGCACAAGCAGCCTTATATCTAGCTAGCGATGACTCCAAGTATGTGAGTGGGGTCAACTTGGTGATTGATGGAGGCTATAGTCTCACCAATCCCTCACTTGGAATGGCAATGAAAAGTTTGCTTTCTAATGTTTAATTTGGAGAAAGTTCCTGATTAATTTCAGACGCTAATCTGATTGTGTGTTTTGGGATTTTTCTTTGAGCTAGTCTCACTTGTAAGGGTTGGGCTGAACTTGTATTTGAATGCACCTGGATTTGGTCTTGGTTCAAGGATCTGGCTAGTCCTTTGTGTCTTTCTTTACTATTTTTTGTTTGATGGTACAGTCCTTTCATCTTTGTGGTGTACTACTTGGCCTGATACCCTTTATCAATGAAATACCATTCGAAAAAAATAATAAAAAAAGCGCCAAGATATCAATTATGGTGATGTATGTGGTGATATACATTTCATAAATAAGCTGAAACCCACTGTCAACGGTCCCATGCCTATTGCCACCACCCTCCACTACCATCTGCCAGACGACCACACTGACAGCCATGCCCTAAAAGTTTTCTCCCAACAGCCTCCTCCTAGTGGCCGGAACCCCTCACTAACATGGAATGATTTGATTCACAGGAAAGAGAAAAAGATTATGTATGTGAAAGAGAGAAAGACACTCTAGATTTTGATATGTGCAAATTTTTAAAGATAAAATTGAAAACAGAGCAATCAATCATTAGTTACAGAGATTAGACTGTCTTTATCTAATAAAACAAATCCAAAAACCAAAAACAGAAAAGAAAGATTTAATGATAGAGAGGTAACTAAAAGGAACAGCAACACAAATAAATAAAAGGAAGAAGGGCGGTCAGGATTAGAAAAACCCAACAATGGACGGCTGAAAAAAATTAATTGTAGCGTCCATAGTTAATTTAGGTCTCAATGAACAAAGGGGGAATAGTTAACCCCACTTCTTTCTATCTGTTTTGTTAATGGCAGTGTGTTTGTCCAAAACAAAAATCATTGTATTGTGATGGGAAATTTAAAATTAATTTTTTCTTATTGTTTATTTGTGTTTTTCGAGGTCAAATCATTTGGTTTTCCAATTACCAATGGAAGTAGCCAGTAGCTCTCCCATGTGCAGGTAGTCCGAGGCATTTGCAGCTAAGCAAATATATATAATAAGTTTTCTGTTAGCAAAGAAATAATATCATGATATATCATATTAGTTGGGTTTAACATTTTAACTCTCTCTCTCTCTCCTTTTTTTTTTTTTTTTTGCATATTTTTAAAATCTTGTAGGCTGTCTTGTTCGAAGATTTCAAGTAGGAGATCATCTGATAATTTGTCAAAGAGATTTGGAGGTAGTCCGAGGCATTTGCGGCTGTGCAAGTAGCTCTTCCATGTGCAGGTCGTCCAAGGCATTTGCAACTGTGCAAATAATAAGTTTTCTAGAATAAAGAATTGAATTTTAAAAAAAGAAGAGTCATAATTAAAATTATAGAATAAACTAAATTTTTAAAAAATAAAATTATCTAAACTTGAAAGTTAAAGATTGATTTTTAAATTAATTAAATTTAAGAAAAAGTTTGGCTCTTTTAGCTTTATTTTAATAGTTTATTTTGGTTTTCTTCGCTGAGTAGTTGCTTTTTTTCCTTTTGGCATGGTTACAGGTCTTTTTTTTTTTTTTTTTTTGAACTGTATTTGGAAAGTGTAAAATTTTTGTTATTTATTTCGGTGATTTTTATACTGTCTATTTTGGCCCCTGAAATTCAATTCATTAATTTTCATTAAAAAAAATCTGTTCATTAATAATTATTGATAATATCTATAAGTGAATTTTTGTTTCTGATGTCTTGAAGCAAAAATGTTTTTTTTTTGGGTATTTCAATCATATGTATTCAAAGTACTATGTGGTTTAACAGATGAAATTAAAATTGATACATTTGAAGGATGCTTGCTAAGTTATTCAACACTTATGAAAGATGTTTGTTATTTATTATTGTCTAAATACGCTGGTAGATTTGTAAATATGGAAGATATTTTATTTTCCATGTGGATGTGTATTAATTTACATATATAGGCAAGTATGCCAACTGAATTGCAGACCCTACACTGCAAGAAAATCTAAAAATAGCGACAAAAATCAATAACGGATTATAGTCTCTCATTAAATAGCGACAGATCAATGAATAAATTATGATTGTTGTCGAGGTGTGGACCTCGGTTATAGAACATCGATGGATTAGTAACGGATTTTCAATGAGAAACTTATATCTATCGCTATATTTGACAATAAATTATTCTCGAGTATTTTAGAGATGACTTATTGAGAAAATAACAAGGTAAAAATTAAGTAATAACGATGGATTTATGAGAAATTTTAGCGAGTCAGATTTAACAATAGCAATTCTATCGCTAGTTAGCAACAAAAATAAGGAAAATAGTGACAGTTTTACAACAAATACTAAATCTGGAAGACGATTGTTTATTTCGATTCGGTGATAGAAATTTTACACGTTAGCACGGATAGATTGTCGTAGATCAATGTTGAAAAAAAAAATTCCGTTGCTATAGAGATAAGATGATTGTTTTAGCTATTGAGTTGATATTGTCGTTAATGGCAAATAGTGATGGATTTTGATTATTTAGCAATGGAAAGTCTATTTTTTGACTTTATTGTAGTGCTACATTTTCAATTTACAAGTAAAAAATTGCTTCTGTTTTGTTTTATTATTATATATAGATATTGCAAATTGGCAATTCAAAAGTAAAATGCTTAGATAGAGATTGTAGTTGGAGAAGTTCCTTACTTTTTGACAAAGTATGGATCCTAATCCATTAGAGAGTCATTTTTCATGTAGATCCAGTATATCTATAGCCATTACCTGCACCGATTCATACTGATCAGGTCAAATAACGAGTCCTTTTTATTTTTTAAAAATTCTCTTTATAAGTTTTTTTGTAACATCTCACAAAATCACATCTAAAAATGAATATAAAAATTCTTATATGTTTAATACACTTTTTTAAAGTCGAAATTGAAATAGTAATACTAGGTATGTTTTAAAAATTTAAAATCATGTCATTAAATATATCTATATATTCTAATAAAAAAAATTGTATTTGTATAGTAGAATTTCATTAAAGTAAAGATTAAATAATAAGATTTTGTTTATAAAGTTTGTTATAATTATATATATTAATAGAAAATTAAAAAATAATAATAAAAATATCGATCAGGTATAAATAGAGTGATGATATGGATGAATTTTTTACTCACCAATGCATTTGACCCAAATGAAATAGGATCACATTACATTCAGTCAGGTATAAATCGAATTAAATGATATTGTTGGATATATAATAAATCACGTGAAATTATCATCCTTGAATTCTTACAATACGAAGCACAGAATGAACAATCTGTATTATTCACCTCATTTTTATATCACGGATTAAGTCTCATAATAAATTTGTCTGTAAAAGTGCTTTCGACCCAAAAAAGGACACCAGCTTGATTACAGCACATAGATGAGAAGATGGGATGAGTCCAAGTATTCGAGTGGGATCAACCTGGTAGTTGATGGAGGTTATAGACTTATAGTGCAAACAATCCTACATTTCCGATGAAAATGGAAAGTCTTATTTCTGAGGCTGATGCTAGTTTATAATCATGAGCTGTCTTACTATGAATTTTATAATGAGGGAAAGATTTCAAATCTCGTCGTATTGTCGTAATTCGTTGGATTGGGATGGGAATTTTTATTTTTATTTTTCTTGTACTTTTCGAGGTCAAATCAATTAGCTTCCCAATCACCAATAGAATATTACAGATTGGCAATTCAAAAGTAAAATATGCTTCAAATAGAGATTGTAGTTGGAGAACTGTTTCTTACGATACAGATCACTGAATCAACAGCCTGCATTATTTTTCACCTATTTTTTCTTCAATAGTTTTTCCGATCCACTAAAGGACACCAGCTTGATTACAGCACCTACCGCAAGTTATCTTATAAGCGCTGTCCATAAGTTATCTTATAATATTGATAGTAGAAGTGTTCAAAAACTGAATAATTAATGGAATTGTATTGAAATATTAATTTTGATATGATTTTAAAAAAAAATTAAAAAAGTTGAATCGAAATAATTTTAATTTTTTTAAAAAAATTTAAATTTTGGGTTTAGTTCAGTTTTCTTTTTTTTAAAAAAAAAATCGGTTTAATCAAAAAATATATAATTCAGATCACTGCCGAATCATGCATTCATTGCTTATGTGGAAAGATGAGAAAGAGACCTACAATTGATTCTCCGGAAAAAAATGAAAATGAAATCGGATCATATTACATTCAGTCTTCTTTGATCTTAATCAAATTAGATAAAAACCCGACTCAATCGAATTAAATGATATTGTTGGATATATAATACATCACGTGAAATTATCATCCTAGAATTCTTACAATACGAATCACTGAATGAACAATCTGTATTATTCACCTCATTTTTATATCACGGATTAAATCTCGTAATAATTTTTTTTTTTTTTTGCAATAACAGTGTTTTCGATACCAAAAAGGACACCAGCTTGTTTACTGCACCTACCATAAATTATTTTTTCACTGAATTACTGACTTTCGGTTCTATATCACAATCACCTTCCACCCTTTTTGATAAATACTTGTGACCGGACAATACTGTCAACAAAAGAGTGCCCTGTAATATTGCCACTGTTTTTTCTTTCTTCCTTTCTCCTTCTCGTCCTTTTACTTCATCTAATCCATGCTTCCTCTATTCAATTTGAAAATTAGAAAGAAAACTTAGTGAAAGAGGGAACGAATACCATTTGGTACTACTCGAGTAAAAATAATTATATCATAATCAGCGTTGAAGAAAAAAATCTCTAATACAAGCTTCTCCATTTTTTTTTTACAGATTATAACTATGTCAACCCCAATAACAAAGAGGTATATAAATTACTGATTCCGGCACTCAGACTTAACCAATCTCCTCAAATTGTGTGTATTTGATGATTTTCTTTGTGATTTTGCAGGCTAGAAGGAAAGGTGGCTTTGATTACCGGCGGAGCAAGTGGAATAGGTGAGACCACTGCAAGATTGTACGTCAAACATGGTGCCAAGGTCCTTATTGCAGATATTCAAGATGAACTTGGTCACTCCCTCTGCGAAGAACTAGGCTCAGAGGAAGCAATCTCTTACATCCATTGTAATGTAACGTCCGATGCTGATGTTCAAAATGCTGTAGATTTAGCTGTCTCCAAGTATGGAAAGCTTGATATCATGTTCAACAACGCTGGCATTAACATACCAAGCATCTGCAGCAATAATAGCCCAAGAATCTTAACTGCTGAGAATGATGATTTCAAGAGAGTCATGAATGTTAATGTCTTTGGTGCTTTCTTGGGTGCCAAACATGCAGCAAGAGTAATGATGCCAGCCAAGAAAGGATGCATTCTTTTCACTTCAAGTATAGTTTCCGTTATTTGTTGTGGTCCTGCACATCCAGCGTACATAGCATCAAAGCACGCTTTAATGGGGCTGGCTAAGAACTTATGTGTGGAGTTGGGGCAATATGGGATTAGAGTTAATTGCATATCTCCATTCGCAACAGCAACCCCAATGGTAAGGAAACCTCTAGGGATGATGGAGAAGAGGAAAGTGGAGGAAATTATTTCTTCATCAGCTAACTTGAAAGGAGTGTTATTGGAACCAGAGGACATTGCAGAAGCAGCACTGTATCTAGGAAGCGATGAGTCCAAGTATGTGAGTGGGATCAACCTGGTTGTTGATGGAGGTTATAGTGCAAACAATCCTACATTTCGAACGAAAATGGAAAGTCTTATTTCTGAGGCTGATGCTAGTTGATAATCATCAGCTGTCCTACTATGAATTTTATAATGAGTGAAAGATTTCAAATCTCGTCGTATTGTCGTAATTCGTTGTATTATGATGGGATTTTTTTTTTTTTTTTTGTACTTTTCGAGGTCAAATCATTCAGCTTCCCAATTGCCAATAGAATATTACAGATTGGCAATTCAAAAGTAAAATATGCTTCAAATAGAGATTGTAGTTGGAGAACTGTTTCTTACAATACCAAATCACTGAATGAAAAATCTGTATTACATTTCACCTAATTTTTTTTCAGTAGTTTTTCCGATCCACTGAAGAGAAGCAGAGATAGGGTATCCTCTTGTTTAACACCACGGCTGGATTTAAAGAAATTGTAACTTTGGCCCTGAATTCTAACTGAGTTCCAAAACATTGCTCATACATCTATAAACCAAGTCACGCCATTGGTTATTGAACCTAATTCCCTCATCATTCTTAGAAGAAACGACCACTCAATCTTATCATAGGCCTTTTCAACCATTTCCTAAGC